GGGGAGGGTGCACCACTCCTGCCCAGTGAAGCTGGGGGAAAGCAGGCACCTTCCTCGCCTTTCTAAATGGGTGCTTTTTTTTTTTTTTTTTTTTTGCAATAGAGAACATTTAATAACACATGTTCCCTTAAGATAAGCATGTTCTTAACATACTGTGCCTAATCCCTAGCTCTGTCTTTATCCTTATCTCTGCCGGCTACTGATCACAATGCCGAGGGGACGGGCGTTCTCCTCCCGTTCTCCCGGGGCCCTGCATCCCTGCCGACCTGGGGCCTGCGAGCTCCTGCCGCTGCTCTCCAGCCTCCCCCGGGCCCTGCCGCCCGGACAAGGACAGCAGACCTCCCCGGGAACAGCCCGCACCTCCTGTCCGTGTTCTCGCACCGAGAGGCAGGTGCAGCCGGCTTGCTCACTGCTGCCCGCTCCTTCTCCTTCCAGAGGCTGTGTGGGTGCGGGAGCGTCAGAGGAAGTGAGAAAAACAGCTGATGCGGGGCAAGAAAAAGGGGGAAGTGCAGTCCACCCAAAGCCTTCAGTTCATGGTGCAGACGCTGCCGGCGCGGTGGAGGGGGCTGCGGGGTCATTGTCCCTGATCGTGAGTGACCCTGGGGAAGGCCAGAATGTCACAGGGGAAATGCTCATTTACAGCAGCTGCCACCCTTTCTTCCTCCTTCTCCCTCCTCCCCCCCAGCCCTTTCCTCCTGGTGGGTTCAGATTTTAGGTTATTTCTAACATCCCTCCTTAAATGTCTGACTGCTGTCCTCTGGAGGCATTGCTCTGTCACCTAGCAACAGGCATATCCCATCCTGGTCCCCCGTTCTCTCCTTCAGCCTGAGATGCGAAGATCACCCAGGTGGACAGGGACACATGGGGTCAGGTTTCCATGCAAAGCCAGTCTGTGTGATGATGGAGCGGTGGATGTGAAGAGCAGGGAGCCTGTTTCCTGGTAATGCATACAAAGTAGGGATTTCGTCCCATCGGGGGTGGGAAAGAGAGAGAGAGAGAGAGAGAGAGAGAGAGAGAGAGAGAGAGAGAGAGATAGATACAGAGGCAGAGAGAGACAGGGAGACAGAAAGAGACGGAAACAGAGAGAGACACAGAGAGAAAGAAGTCTTTGGAGCCGCCTGCCCTCTGGGAGCCTGCATTGTGGGGTCACATGAGCCTGCCTCCCCTCTAACCTGCGTTCCGGGCTGATTAGCAGGAAGAGGGGTAGAATTGGAGTTTTGACCAGGAAATGGTTCCTGATTTGTCCGGCTAGATAGAAAGTTGGCACACTGAGAAAAACAAACTTCAGAGGGGAAATAGGAGGAGGACATTTTTTCTGCATGAGCTTATCATGCACTCACACCGGGGCCTGAGGCCCCGAGCTCGTCTGCGAAGGAACAGGCCCCCTCAGGAGGCGTGGTGACGCAGGGGCGGGCACAGCCTGGCCTGGGTGTGAGGATGCAGCGGGACTGCAGCCGGCTTCCCCTCCCTGCCTGCACACGGGGAGAGCGGACGCTCCCACAGAGATGTTTTCTGTTCCTTTCTGCCCTTCATTCATTTATCTTTCTTTTTATTTACTTGTCTGTGTTTGTTTGTTTGCTATTGAATTCATTGAGGAGGCATAGGTTGATAAAGTTATACAGATGTCAGGTGTACAATTCTGTAACACACCATCTGTGTATTGTACTGAGTGTTCACCCCAGTCAGGTTCCCGCCATCATATGTGTTCCCCTTTCCCCACCCTTCCACCCCTTTCCTCCTGGTCTTCACCAGACTGTTGCCTGTGTCTAGGCGTTCTGCTTCCTGTCTAACCCATCACCTTTCTCACCAGCCCCCTTTCCCGGTGGGTCCCAGACTCCAGGGTCACTCAGGACGGATCTCCGTTCCGTGAGCACGTTCTGTTTTGAGATGTGCTGTTCCCGCTCCTCTCCCGGGAAATCCTCGGTCTTACAGGCTCTCCTTGATCGCCTCCATTGGAGGCCTTCACTGGCCAGCCTCCCTCTCCCCGTCCCTCCCACGCACTGTACGGGCCAGGACGCTTTCCTGGTCCAACTGTAATTATTGCCTGTTGGTCTCTCTCACTTTGAATTCCCAGCGGACACAAGTTAAGTCTCATTTAACTTTGCATCTACCTCAGTGTCCCCTCCGTGGCCAGGCATGCAGTAGGTTTTCATTAATCAGCATGTATTTACTGAGTGCTTCCCATAGGCCAGGCCATGCATACTCTTCTAGGAAAGAGGAGCAGGGCCATGTAAACTGCCTCTTCTAGGGAGCTGACATGCTGAGGGTGAAAGGAGATAGTCAATGAACAAACTAAGTAAAATCTCACATACACACACACACACACACACAGTGCTTCCTGAAGGACTGCCTGCCTGTGTAACACACACACACACACACACACACACACAGTGCTTCCTGAAGGACTGCCTGCCTGTGTAACACACACACACACACACACACACACACACAGTGCTTCCTGAAGGACTGCCTGCCTGTGTAACACACACACACACATACACACACACACACAGTGCTTCCTGAAGGACTGCCTGCCTGTGTAACACACACACACACACACACACACACAGTGCTTCCTGAAGGACTGCCTGCCTGTGTAACACACACACACACACACACACACACACACAGTGCTTCCTGAAGGACTGCCTGCCTGTGTAACACACACACACACACACACACACACAGTGCTTCCTGAAGGACTGCCTGCCTGTGTAACACACACACACACACACACACAGTGCTTCCTGAAGGACTGCCTGCCTGTGTAACACACACACACACACACACACACACACACAGTGCTTCCTGAAGGACTGCCTGCCTGTGTAACACACACACACACACACACACACACACACACACAGTGCTTCCTGAAGGACTGCCTGCCTGTGTAACACACACACACACACACACACACACACACACACAGTGCTTCCTGAAGGACTGCCTGTGTAGCACACACAGGTCTGAGCCTGGCAAAGGTTCCGGACCCTCCTCGCATGCTGCTCTGCTGAGGAGAGGCGCCCATCTGCATGTGTCCGGTCTCTGGGCCCGCGCTGCTGAGTGTGCCTGACGTAGATCGCACCCTTCTTATCGATCAGATTGTAGAGAGACTACACGGCAGGGCACTCCCGGGATGCTATTTTTGTGCTGAATAATGAGCTCGCTCTTTCTGGGGCGCTGGCAGGGCGCCGACTCTGTTCTCAGCGCTTCCGGTGGATTATGTCACTTACTCCCCGGAACCCTCAGGAGACAGGCTCCATCCCCGTGGGGCACCCCGCAAACGGGCACAGCTCTGTCCCTGATCCCAGCTTCCCAGGCCGAAGGGGTGCACTGCAGACTGCCTCCTGAGACCTGCTCTCAGCGCTGCTCTCCGCCCGGGGTGTGTGTGTGTGTGTGTGTGTGTGTGTGTGGGTGTGTGCCATCAGAGCAGGCACAGCCTTCCTCCGCCAGCATGTCCATTCCAGCCAGGCCCTCCCTTCCCTCCTCTCCCTGCCCCTCCCCTCCCCTTCCTTCTCTTTCCTTCCTTCTCTTTCCTTCCGTGATGTTGAGCAAGTAACTCACCCTCTCTCACTTGGCAGTTTCGGTTGCTTATCTTTAAATTGGGAGTAGAGTTATGATGGCGGTTAGATCAGTATTACAGCTGACAAAGAAACCTCAGCCAGCGCCTTTCACCAGGGCTCATTTACTGCTGTTACTAGGATGCCTCATCCCACTCCGGCTTCCATGAGGAGAGAGGATTGCTACATCCCCCTGGCCTCTTCACAACCCGGGGTCGTTCCCTCCTGGACTGATTATCTGAGGAGAATGAACTGGCCCCTCTTCCCCGGGGAAGGAGCCTGCCTGAGGTCTGACCTCAACAGGCATCTGATCGCAGGGTTTGGTTCGCTGTCTGCTGTTCTCACCCTGAGCCTCGCTCTCCATAATTACTATCAAATGGGATATTGTAGCACTTCATCTTCTGATTCTGTTTCTCAATTCATCTAGAAATTGAGCAGGAAAGAGGTATGCTATGAAACTTGTCCCTATAATATTCTGGAATTAGCATGTGCTCTCCCATCCCCCAATTATCATCGAGTCAGGATTTTAGAGTTGAAAGGAGACCTTTGAAATGAGGGAAATTTATGTCTCCGTCTCATCGTTGAGCCTGGCGCAGGCGGTCACTCAGCTCTTCCCTGCGACCTCCCGGTTAGGAGCAGGCTGCTTTCTCGACAGGCGGCCCAGGGGTCTGCCTGGGGATGCCCTCCATGGGGCTGGCATGACCCAAGGGGGTGTGGTTTTGCAGTGCTGGGCCCTCAGGCCTCCATGTGCTCCGGAGAAAATTCGCAGGTTGGGTCTCTGGGAGAAAGTTTTGGCCTGAAGCCTGAGGGGGAGAGTGAGTGTTCTGTGGCTTTGGCATCAAATCCCGGGAAATTTCCCGTCACCCCTGTGTGCTGCCACGTTTTGTTTATCCATCCCTCAGTTTATAGACACTCAGGTGGTTTCCACTTTTTGGGTATTACCAATAATGTCTCTATAAATACTCATCTTCAAATGTTTGTGTGGTGGGCAAAAGTAGGTTTACAGCTGTTTGTGTGGATAAAAGCCGGCCGGTTATGATCATTACAACAGCATTATTAGCTCTGTGTTCTGCGCACTCTCCGCTGTAAACCTGCTTTTATCCATCCCTGAGTTAGTAGAATTACTAGATCACAGTCCCCTAAAACCCTTCAAAATTGCTTTTTGTTGTTGTTGTTGTTGGCTATTCTTGGGCCCCTGTTTACTTCCTCTGTGCCGAATGCTGTCTGTGACTTGATGTAAAATTAGCACATCTGGGAGTCAGTTTAACGTTCTTTAAAGAACTAGTTCTTTGTAGAAATAATTAAAAATTCTCCAAGTGAGGATAAACGGAATCACAAGGATGCTTACTGTTGTCTCCAGGAGAGTACATTTGCCTTGATTCTCTTCTTTCGAAGCTTCTGTTTGAAGATTTACAAAGATTTCCTTTTCTTTTGCAGAATCGCAATGAAATAAAGAATGGCACTATCCTTCGATTAACCACGTCTCCGGTGAGTAGGTCTTCGTTTGTAGCTTTCCAGCAGACGCTTCCTCTCCTGATCCTCCATGTGATTGTGGACATTCACTTTTGAAGATGTCATTAGTGCAAAGCAAAAGGTTCTGGAACATCCTCACACGCAGATTCTGGATAAGCAGGATTGTTCTCCCTCTCCCTGTATTTCTCACTACAGACAGGCAAGCCTCCTTCCAGGTCAAGTACAGGCACATGCATTGACTTTAAGTTTGAGTTTGTGAGCCATCTTCACAGTCCTCACCTTACGGATGAGATGACTCAGCTGTACGGACTGGTTTTTACCCACCTGCTCACACGCCCACCAACGCCATCTGAGCAAATTCAGACACCAGACAAAGCAAACGAGACCAAAGACAGCCTGCTATTCCCCTTAAAGTCAGAGGGTGTGCACGTGTACATGTGCGTGTGCGTGTGTGTGCATGGATGTGTATGCATGTGTAAGAGAGAGTTTAAGCATTTTCTAGTCTGGTCCATTATTACAATAGTTCATAGAAATGTAGTGTAAGAAGTATTTGCACTCCTGCCATTAAATTGACAGCTGACTCTAGATAAAACACCTTTACAGTCCTCCAAATAAAAGCTGCCAAACCAAAGCTATGAAATATTTGGGCGACTGACTGCATTGCTTATCTTCATCTTTCTCACTTCCTTGTAGATACTTTAGGTAGTACCATTAGCATATTTGAACTATATCCGCTCGCAGTGCATTTTTATTGCTTTCCTAAAAAAAACTAATCTGCAGAAAATACACCAACTGTTACTATTTCCACTCGGCATCTGCGATGAAAACTGTGTCTAACTCACATTTCCAGTTTCTCCTGCAGCCATGTGGTGGCTAAAAATAAATGTGAAAACTGGGAAAGGCATCTGGCTGAAATTAAATTGCGGGGACTGGAACTACCACAGATTTTTCTTGTTGAAAATTATATTAGAGAGGCTTAAAAACCCCCTGAACATTCTGCCCAATCACATCTTGAACCTACACCCAGTGATGAGCTCAGCAGAGCGCGTGGCCGGAGTTGGCTGGCCTGGCTCTCGAAGCCTTCTTTTCCACTTCACAGTAATTATAATTTAGACTCATTTTTCAGCGGCTGCATGATGAGCTGAGACATTTTTTTGCCTGATGTGGCATTGATCTTCTTACTTTAGTCAGCAAGAATTAATGCTAATTTGACCTTTAGAGACCACAGTTTCCCTTGGTTTTTGTCGTTTCTGTTTATCCTGCTAAAGCTGCTCATTTTCTTGCTGGGCACAAAGAGTACATCTTGCTTGTTATTTCATCTTAGAATTAGAAAGGCTCCGTTTCTTTATGTTTATTTATTAAATCTAGGCCTCCTCCAGGCCAGAGAAGCAGTCAGTTTCCTTTTTTATCGCCATGCGCTCATGAACAAATTTCCACAGGCTAAGCCAGTGCCGAGAGGAGGCGAGGTGCTGGGCAGAGAGGGATGCTCAGCGTGCCGAGCGTGAGCGTGCAGACTCCGTGGCAGGCCTGGCCCTGGCGGCACCGCGGGGCTCGTCCTGCCCGGCAGTGGCCCTCGCAGTCCCAGCGTGGCAAGGGGATGGGAAGCGCATGCCCAAGGCGGTGTCATACGCTGGAGTCCACCTGCGAAGGGCGGGCTCGCACTTTCCAAAGGGCAGTGTTCCCCAGACAGCAGTCATGGAGGAGCGTTACAAATGCTGATGTCACCTGGCAGGGGAGGCCCCATGTTTGAGTGTCGAACTGTGAACCAGGAGGTCATGGTTCGATTCCAGGTCAGGGCACATATCCGGGTGGTAGGCTCGACCCCCAGCAAGGGGCGTGCAGGAGGCAGCCGGTCAATGATTGTCTTTCCTCAGTGGTATTTCTCTCGCAGCCTCTCCCTTTCTCTCATAAATTAATAAAATCCATATTTTTTAAAATGCCAGTATCTGGCCTTCTAATGAGAAGCTGAATTACGATATGTAAGAGTGAGGTCCAGGAATCTGCTTTTTAAGAGAGCACTTTAATGGCTCATCTGTACCCACAGTGTCTAGAATTGGGAATTGCTGTATAAGAAGAGATAGTTTGAATTTGTAAAATTCACTTGTTGCTGGCAGATTTTTTATTATCTTGTGTTTAACTGGAAAATATGGCTCAGCATATGCTAACCCTTTCACTTTTTACATGTGTACTAAGAATAGGTTAAAAATAACTGTCTCCAGCACATTAGCTAGGAAGTGTGAGAGAGTGTCATAAAGAAACCAGCAGTTTCTACTACACCAGCTTTTCCAGTCCTTTCATCTGCCTTGGCTCTCTGTAGCCAGACAAGGACATGCACACGCACATGCGTACACACGCACATGCGCACATGGGTTTTGTAAAACCCAGCTCTACTGGGTTTTACAAAACTCTCTCAGAGGTGCTGTTGGTGTTGGCTGATGCAGTTGTTTTCTGTATTCCTTTATCATAGAACAACCCTTTCTGGGTTGTTTCTAGCAAAAAATAGGGTATTCATAAGAGAAGATCTGTAAAAACAACCTGCCCTATCTAAATAAGAAAGAGCTAATGTGCAAATGGTCTTGACACCCTCACACGTAACAACCGATCAGCAGGAGGCTGTGAGCACAGCAGGCGCAGGTGGGCGGGGACTTGCAGGGTCAGGGACTTGAGTGAGTCTTGCATCCCCACCCCCGGCACCAGGCCCAGGGACGTGAGGCTTGTGGAGACCTACCTCTGTGAGTCAATGGATTGCGAGTCTCCCGCACGGTGACAGGGCACTGACCAGGCTGAGGGACCTCCCTACCCAAGTGCATGAATTTTGTGCACTGGATCTCTAGTTATTCTAATAAAAGCCTTTACACCTAGCTGGTGGTCCTCCTCTACATTGCACACTTTATTTTATTTTTTCTTAATTGTCACCCAAGGATATTTTTCCATTGATTTTAGAGAGACTGGAAGAGAGAGGGAAAGACAGAGAGAAATATTGATGTGAGAGAAACACATTGATTGGTTGCCTCCTGCACAAGCCCTAACCAGGGCCGGGGGCCAGGGAGGAACCTGCAACTGTGATGCATACCCTTGACCCGGAATCGAACCCAGGACCCTGGTCCACAGGCTAAGTTTTATCCACTGCACACATTATACAGTACCTCCATGTATACCTATCTTCTTTCATGTATATCTATATCTATTCATTTATCTCTGTGCCATCTTAAACACTCAGGTGTCATAGCTTCGCCCCTCTCCCCAGTGCCATGGAAATATAACCGTGGACATGCCCAGGAAATGGGTGCAGGTGGGCGTGTTTGAGCAGTCAGGGTCTGAGGCCTTTCCTTCTGCCTGCCTCGGGAATGGCAGCGTGCATGTGGAACCTGTCACGTGTTGCCGGAAGCAGCGGATAAACATGCATTTGGCCACTGTTCTGTCTGAGGAAGCTTGGGGCTGCCAGGCCCTTGTTTTTACTTTTCTGAAATTGGGTTTTAAAAGTCCCCACAGTGACTCTCTCTGTGTCTTGCAGTGAGAAAGACCGCTCTCAGTGCAGCACAAGCCCCAGGAGCCGCAAAGGAAAAGATTGACACATTTGACAGCGACAAAACAAAAGCCACACAAACTTGACATTTGGAAAGAATTCCAGAAAACAAATTCAATACCGGCGCGTTAGGAAAAACTGTTGGCACTATGTATGACAGATAGCGTGCTAATTCCTCAAGTTCCAGGAATTATAAATAATGCCCCAAAACAGATGGCCAAAATCTATATGCAAAAATGATCTCTATTTTTATATGTTTGTCTCTATCCATGCTTGTTGATCTGTGTGTTTGTGTATCTGCTTACCCTGGCAGGCAAGCCAGGATAAATGTAAATATGAATGTGGAGACATATATAGAGCTATAGCTATAGATATATAGGTATAGGCATAGAGATAAACAAATAGATATAGATATAGATATACATGGAAGAAGAAACTCAATCTCTCTCTCAAAATTGGTGAAAATCCACCCTCCTCAGTAGTCAAGGTGTGAGGCCAGCTGCTGTGGTGCTGCGAGTATACATTGGGACAGCCTCCCCTGGCCAGGCTGCTCAGTGGTTAGAGCATCCTCCTAGCATGGGGCGTCAAGGTTGTGGACTCGATCTCCAGAAGGGCACATATAAGAATCAACCAGTGAATGAATAAATAAGCCAAACAGCAAATTGAAGTTTCTATCTCCCCTCCCCCCCCTTTGCTAATCCATCAGTAGAAAATATTAAATTGGAACAGCCACTTTGGAAGGCAACTTAGTGGTGTCCACCCGAGTCTAAAATATATGCGTCTTTGTCCTGACAGTTTTATTGCTGGGAACTTATCCAATAGGTAGACTCATAAGGACGCGCACGCACGCATGCACGCATGCACGCAAGCCCACAAAGAGCTGTGTGCATCGTTGTTTTTAATGATCAAGAGCTGGAGAGCTGGTAACTGCCGACCAGCCAGGCCTAGTTCATGCCCATGTGATAGGGCAGTGCAGCGGTTAGCAGGACCGTGGCGTGTGCCGGCCGGAGACGGTCTGGAATCGGGGTCAGGGCAGAGGCAGGCTGCGGGCCCTCTGCGGGGAGCGGCCCCGGAGAGGTCCGTGGGCAGGAGGCATGTGTGTGCTGATGACGGACGAAATCGCTCTTAAGACCTCACTGCAGTGTTAGCGTTGGGAAACTTTATTTTTGGTGTAGAACGTCTGGCAGGACTTTCGTATTTGTATGCCATGCGCTGGTCTTGTTTTTAATTAAATGAACAGCTTCACAGTTATCTTAAGGTCACCGCTGCCTATAAGAGGTGACTCGTAATGTTCTATTCTGAAAACATTTTAGCATTCCAAACTTTTCAATAGTTCAGAGCCTTTTTTTGTACGACCTGGTTTCCTCACGCCCCCTGTTCTGGCCGTGAGGGCAGAGTGAATAAACTGCTCACCACAGCCTGCTGCTGCCGTGCCGGCTCTGCGCCGTCCTCCCTTCTGCTCCTCCGTTTGGGGGCCGCTGTGAGGGGCTCCCAGGCCAGACTTTGGGGACTGGTTTTGGGGACCAGTCACTGTGGCAGAAAGAAGAATGGTGCTATCTCAGTCATGTGGACACAGGTCATCAGAGATTCTCCACACACACACACACACACACACACACACACACACTAGAGGCCCAGTGCTTTCATGCCCTGGGGGAGAGGGGCTCCTCAGCCTGGCTTGCGCCCTCTCACAGCCCAGGACCCCAGGGGGTATCCCCCTGTGGGAGCGCCACTGAGCCAGAAGCTGGGCTCCTGCTCCTTAATGCCGCCTCAGAGGCGGGAGAGGCTCCCGCCACCGCCACTGTGCTCACCAGCCCTGAGCCCGGCTTCTGGCTGAGCAGTATCCCCCTGTGGGAGCGCGCTGACCACCAGGGGGCAGCTCCTGCATTGAGCATATGACCCCTGGTGGTCAGTGAGCATCATAGCGACCGGTTGTCCCACCGTTCGGTTGATTTGCGTATTAGGGTTTTATTAGATAGGCTGGTCTAACCCTAGGTGAAGCCTCTCGCTTTCCTAATTACTTTGGTATAAATTCACGCAGTGAGTAGTGAATGTATGGGAAGCGCATGCGGAAGAGTGAAATTTGTAAGCATCCTTGTGCTGTGCTGGAAGGTTGTCAGTAACCCAGAAAGATGGTTGGTGACTGATGATGCCTTTGAACACTGCGCAGACAGGTGTCGCTCAGAGCATCGCCTGACTAGTAACACGCTGTATAGGTCTATGTGATTGCTTAACCAAGCACCACGCTTTTTGCCATTTAGAGATGAAAAATTTACTTGAAAGATAAACATTTTTGCCTTTTCCCCTTCTTACTACTACACCTGCTCCTTTTCTGGGAGAGCTCTCAGTTTTCCCAGAAATGGAGACGAGGGCCCGTTCCCCGGAAGGCAGAGGGCTGGCTCCCATGGAGAAGTGAGCGGCCAGGGCGGCGGGTGGGGGCTCTGAGGTTGGAAACGGCGCTGGGCGAGGGGGATGCCCAGCCTTGCCCTGCGGGCCACGTGTCCTTGTTTCCCAAATGAAACGCTCCCGTTTTCGTGCGGTTTCCTCCGTGAACGTCTCCCCTCCGTGTCCCTCAGGCCCAGAACGCCCAGCAGCTGCACGAGCGCATCCAGTCGTCCAGCATGGACTCCAAGCTGGAGGCGCTCAAGGACCTGGCCAGCCTGTCCCGGGACGTCACCTTCGCCCAGGAGTTCATCAACCTGGACGGCATCTTCCTGCTCACGCAGATGGTGGAGAGCGGCACCGAGTAAGCCCGTCCCCGCGCGCAGCTGCTCCCTCCCACCCGGCTGTCCCCCACTTACGTGGCAGCGTCAGCTTTAAAGACCAGGAATCGACAAGGCTCAGGAAAAGGAAGAGATGGCTTTTGAGTTAGTGTCTGGGGAGCGGGTTTGTGAGTATCAGATTGGCCGCCCTCCGAGGAGCCAGGGGCTGAGCTGAGAGATTGGGCACCGGCCTGCATGCCTGGGGAGGCAGGAGACCACCACAGCCATTTGAGCGGGTACTGAGCTCCATAATCAAGGAGTTCCATCAGGTCACTTGGAATTTCAAATTTAGGAGGAAAAATATTAGATCCTTATCTCAAAGAGCCTTTCCAACACTGAAATAATAATTCTATAAAACATAAAGCCCTCACGTCCTTCCCCTATCCCAGTGGTCGGCAAACTGCGCTCTTTGCACACAATATGATAACAATTGCCTAATCCTCACAGCTTCAACTATACGGTAACATTCAGTCTGGTCCAGTGGTCGGCAAACTCATTAGTCAATAGGGCGGCAAACCGGCCACTGGCCTAGCCCTCTGAATGCGTTAAAAAACAAGTGAGAATAACTCCTTCCAGTCTCAAAGCCTTAAACCAGGTAAAAAATATCATGGCTGAAGTAAGTTTCCTTTAGTTAACTTTTGATTAATGAGATGCATGACCTTACTTATTTGAAATTAAATGCAGTCAATGCTTATTAAATACTGACTGTATACAAGCGTGGAAATTGGGAAAACTTGCAAAGATGTGAGACTTGCCATAAAAAATGTTTGGAGGCAGAAGTCAACTGAGGCATAATTCTCCTGGGCCTTTGAGTCTAGTGGCTGGACAGGCTGGCTGCTTCTGGAACCTTCCAGAGGAGTCAGCGGGCCACGAAGGAGGTTGATTCCATCCCTGGTAAGAAAGGGATGAGCATTTGGGCTCAGGAGCCCGCCTCAGGTGTGGCGTTGCTTCTCTGGCGGGAGGCGGGTGAGGAGCCAGAGGTGTGGCTCCTGCATGTGTGGGCAGGTCAAGCCCGGGACCACGGAGTGCCAGGGAGGGTCCACAGGACACAGCGCTTCCTGTGTCCATGTGGTCAGTGCCACAGGCATAGACTGCAAGAGCATATGGGTTAGAGCACATGTGTCAAACACAAGGCCCTCGGGCCAAATCCGTCCCGCCAGGCCTTGCAATGTGGCCCGCACCGCGCTGTCATCACTGCACTCCGCTGCGTTTCCATCACAATGACAGTTTATGACTGTTCAGTAAACCATTCGGCCCGCGATTTAGGCTGGATTTTAGATTTTGGCCCCTTCTCTGATTGAGTTCGACACCCCTAGGTTAGAGCATGTGAGCATGCTGAGTCCATTCACTACATATTAACATGCCAAACTAATAACGGGCAGGGGTGGGTAGGTATTTTTCCGGAAAGAGTACATATCATTGTGAATTGGGGCTTAAACCTGGGTCCTTTAAACCTTTTCTGTACCAGGCGATTCAAAGAATGAGCTGATGACTGCCTGTTGGAGCCGTCCCAGCCCCCTCCCACCCTCCCTTCCTTCCTCTCTTCCTTCCTGTCTCCTCCCTCACGGGCATTATTTAGCCTCTGCAGTTGGCACCAGTAAAAGGTTCTGGTTTTGGTTTCTTATTCAGAGAGGAGGTTTTATAGTGACAGGAATAGCTCCCATATGAGAATGCTCTGTGGAGCCCGGCTGGCATGGCTCAGTGGTTGTGCATCAACCTATGAACTAGGAGGTTAGCGTTCAATTCCCTGTCAGGCACGTACCGGAATGCGGGCTCAATCCCCAGTGGGGAGCATGCAGGAGGCAGCTGATCAATGATTCTCTCTCATCACTGATGCTTCTGTCTCTTTCCCTCTCCTTTCCTCTAAGAAATCAATAAAAGTATAGATTTAAAAAAAAATGCTCTGTAGAGTTTGGAGTGGATGGGTCTTACCTTGTAGGGACAATATCTAAGAGTGAATTGGGGAGGAATTACAAGTCTGAGAGGACTGGTGGGAAGGGTCGGCTGTAGGCTGGTCTCATTTATTTATCAGATGATGCCTGAAGCACTGCTTGTGAAATTTCTGGTGAACATCAGTGTGGAGTGGGCAGGGAGAACCGAGTTGGGGGCATTATCAGAATCTGAAGCCATTGCTTGGAGCTTGAGTCAGGAGGGACACTGAGCGAGTTGAGGGATGCAAATGGCCGGGCCAGGAAATTGAGACCGAGGGTTCTGTCTGTGTTGGAATCTCGGGCTGAAACCCAGTGATCAGAGCATCAGCTGGAGGACTAGAGAGTCTCGGGTTCAGTCTGGTCAAGGGCACGCACCTCGGTTGTAGGCTTGATCCCCAGTTGGGGCATGTGCAGGAGGCAACCAGTCGCTGTGCCTCTTTCACATCAATGTTTCTCTCTCTGTCTCTCCTCCTTCCTTCCACTCTCCCTGAAAGTCAATGGGGGAAAAAAATATCCTCGGGTGAGGATTAACAAAAAATAAATGAATAAAATAAAAAATAAGTTGAAATGTGCCCCCACTGATTGATGTATCAATGTTCCAGCCATGAGTGCATCAAAGCCAGCTGCCAGAGCCAGGTGTCAGTGACCTGCCACAGGCACACAGGTATGCAGTGGCTTAAGCTTTCCCATTTCACCATCATACATGTTAGTACTTGTGAACTCACTGGAGTTGCAATCTTATTTCAGTTAGAATGGCAAATCCACTGAAAGCCGAGGTCCCTGTGACATGCGCCCTGAATAGAGGGCTCGGGTGAAGCTGAGTAACGCCCGAAGCCTGCAGCTCTCTCTGTTGGCAATGAGGGTTTTAGTGTTTCATTTCTCATCATGTTATTTTGCTCGGGCTGCCCTCACAGTTCCCCCATCTGGGTGGCTCACACAACGGTCATGCATTTTCTCACAGTTCAGGAGGCTGAAATCCAGTGTCTGCAGGGTTGGTTTTTCCTGCAGCTTCTCTCCCGGATTTGTAGACGACTGCTCCCTAGGTCCTTGCCTGGTCTTTCCCCTGTGTGCATGGATCCTTAGTGTCCCTGAGTATACCAAATCTCCTCTGGTAAGGACACCAGTCAGATTGGATTAGGACACCCCCGAATGGCTCATTTGAACCCCCAGTCACCTCTTTAAAGGCTCTATCTCCAAATGATGTCCCATCTGAGGCACTGGGGGCAGGGATTCAACATAGGAATTTGGGGGCACACAATTGAACTGTAACACTCAACAATGGAATAGTACCCCATTTTTTTTTTAAAGGAAAAAGGAGTAGAGACAAATACTAGGTATTTGTCTTTCAACATTACTTCCTCTCCATGCCATTGCCTTACTGTGTAACTCGTCTTGATCTACGGAGGGGCCCCCAAAAATCACATCCCTCAGACTGAAGACTTGGACATGAGAGATGTCAGGATTGAATGGCTGTATGTGAACTATAGGACTTGAATTCCTTTTTTATTTATTTATTTAAAAAATATTTTTATTGATTTCAGAGAGGAAGGCATGAGAGAGAATCATTAATCGGCTGCCTCCTGCACACCCCACACTGGGAGACTGAGCCCACAACCCAGGCATGTGCCCTGACCAGGGATCAAACCATGACCTTCTGGTTCATAGATCGATGCTCAACCACTGAGCCTCGCCAGCCAGGCTTCAATTCCTTTTATAAAATAGCATATTATTCTCAACGTATCACTTAACTGCTTGTGATGCAGAAGCCATCCCAGTTTGTCCGGACAGCCAGGTTCTAGGCAGATAAACGAAAGCCCAGATCCTGGGTGGGCTCTGGCATTGCCTCCCACACCTCCCCGCCACACTGTCTGCTCTCCTGGGTAGCTTTCCTGCCCTCCTCGCCACCTCGCAGAAGTTCAAGGCCATGCCCAGCCCCTGCCTGCCTTCTGCAGGGTCCTGCCACTCACCTAGGAAGCTGCTCAGTGGACCCTCAGACATACATATATTTTTACACTTCCTGACCTTCTGCTCAGATGAAAAGGAAAAGAAAGGCATTTTTCTTGCAAGGAAACCTGGCTTCTCAATTAAACTCAGAGCAAGGCTTTTCCTAATTAGCGGACACCCTGTGGAGTAGAAACCCCTCAAATCGAGTAGACCCTGCAGGTCCTCGGACCCGATCAGACTTCCCACTGGGGCAGAGGGTCCCAGCAGGCCCTGCGGAAACTGCAGGAAACACCCAGGATGTGTGGCTGGATTCCCCTCCTGCCTCTGAGCTCTGATGAGACGCAGAGGTTCTCACCGCTGTCATTACCCGGGCGGAGCTCGGAAAGGTCACTCTCTGGTGGTACCTGTGTGTGTGTGTGTGTGTGTGTGTGTGTGTGTGTGTGCGCGTGCGCTACAGGAGCCACAGCGCAGCCTGGGGAAGTGGCACGTGGCCGGAGTGTTGCGTTGAAAACCGGAATTAATTTCCCTTCCTGGGACTTGGAAATCTCATTCCTAGTTTCAGCTTCAAACATAAATGTGGGGGCAAGTTGTGGGGGAACAAGTTGCCCCAAACTGAGTAAGGCATGGTGTCCGGAGGGGACATTCTGGGATGGACAGTGTTAAAAAAAAAAAAAAAAGATGGGCGTGAGAAGATTTCTCAGGAACAATGTATTTTATTTGACCGGAAAGCAGAGAAATGGGTACCTGCCACTCTGATCCCCCGCGGCAGACACCCTGCTCTGCTCTGCTGTGAGTTCCTGCGTGTCTGTGCCGCGCTCAGCAGGCCGCGCCTGCCCTTCGGCCTTAGACAGAGAGCAGGGCGGCACTTCCAAGAATGAACGGGCAGCATCTTCATAGTTTCCTTCCCACGTGGCAACGGGACCAGAAAATTCCACCGTTGGATCTGAGTAAGCCTCAGCACCACCCTGAGCAGGGAAGTCCAGAGAGAAAAAGTTAAATTGGGGCACTTACACAAACTCAGTTTCTTAAGTTAGCTTTTTGTCCTTAAAAACAATTGTAGTTATTGTTTAAAAAATAAATATAAATAAACAGAAGCAGGAAAATAGGAA